CCCAGAGTTCCTCAGCCAGCAAAGCTGGCTGAGGAACTCTGGGAGTTGAAGTCCACAGGTCTTAAAGTTGCCAAGGTTGGAGACCACTGATCTAAGCCGAACAACACGGCTCCACCTCTTTCTGCTGCTCAGCCGTTTCACCGCTGTGCGAAGTCCGTGTCCTCGCGAAAAAGGCTGTGGAGAGCCGACATGGGCCGGAGAAGAGGGGTTGCTTGTCTTGGTTCTGTTCTTCCATGAACGGCGTACAGCAGTAGCCTTCTGCACTGGGAAAAGGCGTCTCGGAAAAGATTATTGGAGACAACTAGTCCGTCGTGTCCCATTTCCCTTTTGGCTCTCTTCGAAAGCGCGGAGGAAAGGTGGACTGGCTTTGATAGAGCGCCTCTTACTGACTCGTGTGAATGCGACATTAGGAGCCCTGGTACAGAAGAGGAACATATAAACGGCTGGAATTCACAACGACCGGGCTGTTGAGCTGCACGTACGCAGTTAAGATCCAAGTGGCCAATCAGAAACACAGGTGTGACATGAAACTACATTTCCCAGAAGGCAAGAGTATTACCCGAGAGGCAGTCCCTTAAAGAAACAGTAATTCCTAAAATAACTTAAAACAGTATTTAATTCCTAGACCAATAATACCCTTTAAACAGCACATAAACACAGAGCCCAAATCAGACCTGGAGTTGACCAAGCTAGACTTTAAAGAGCGCCATCTCGTGCCATAGTGCTGTACCTGATTTTAGCTACTGTTTCTATCCGTCCATTCTCGGGTTTTCATGATGGCTGCTTCGGTCCCTGGAACGGCTGGCCCGAAAAGCTGGAAGAGAAGTTGTTATCGCTCGCATGGAAGCAGTGTTGAGCACCTGAGAACTTGGCGGAGAGAGAGAGAAGCAGGTAACTGTGTTTCTAATTTCCTGATTTAGTTTTGAACTGAAGGCAACTCATCATTTTTTATCCCATTTAATGTATGGGATAAAATGTCACTTTAGCATGATTCCATCCAAACATTTAACTTAGATAATATTAAAAAAATAGTCAAACTTACTAAATGTCTCAAAAGATATCCATATTTTTTATTCATTTGTATACACTTCTTTAAGCTTTCATTATGCTTTGTCAATTGCATTTTTATATAATTGAACAGCTGTGTAATCTTGTATAGTAGCATTAAACTATTCTTTTCACTCTTCCTTTTATACAAGGGCACTTGATAGTTTTACAGTTTTGTTACAGCTCTAAGAAGTGCCCGGAGGGTAAAACAGTTGTTCAGTAAGCGGCGTTTATGTGAAGACAAGTCATCCGATGGAAAAGTTGAAATGGATAATGAGACAGCAGCTCTTTTATCAGAAGAAGAGGTAAGATATGCATCACTAAATTAATTGGAATTCACTGCAATATATTTAATTTCAGTCTTAAGGTTATCAACTTTCTGGAAACTTACCTAAAGTACTAGTGGCCATTCTCCAGATTACATGCTATCAGATGCTATCAGTGTAAATATCCGTGTAAGCCAGGGGTAGCCAACCTTTTTATACCTACCGCCCACTTTTGTATCTCTGTTAGTAGTAAAATTTTCTAACCGCCCACTGATTCCACAGTAATAATGATGTATAAAATAGGGAAGTAACTTTACTTTATAAAATTTATAAAGCAGAGTTACAGCAAACCCCTACCGCCCACCATGAAGGCTGGAACGCCCACTAGTGGGCTGTAGGGACCAGATTGACTACCACTGGTGTAAGCTGTCTTGAGTTGCGTAGGCAGCAATATAAATTTTCTAAAATAAAATAAATAAAAATAAAATTAATTACTACATAGACAGACTTTCTTGAGGGTGATGTGTCCTCAACCTGGTCCTTCAGGTCTTCCAACAGTGCGCACATCATTGCTACAATCAAGTCTGCTCACCTTGCTTCTCTCTTTTCACCATTCGCAGCTGTATTATGTTTGTTAAGTGAGTTTTGCCCCATTTTACAATCTTTTTTGCCACAGTTGTTAAGTGAATCATTGCAGTTGTTAAATTAGTTACATAGTTATTAAGTGAATCTGGCTTCTCCATTGATTTTGCTGGTCAGAAGGTCGCAAAAGGGATCACATGACCCTGGGATACTGCAACTGTCATAAATACAAGTCAGTTGGCAAACATCTGAATTTTGATTACATGACCATAGGGATGCTGCAGTGGTTGTTAGTGTGAAAAATGGTCACAAGTGACTTTTTTTTCCTGTTTAAATTTTTTATTTCCATTTTCATTTTCATAACACACACTCACATGTATACTATACATAGCCCATATCATATAGTGTTAAATAATAATTACATCAGTTCTTCTTGTCAACAATGCCCAAAGGAAAAAAAAATAGAAACCCATTATAGCTCTTCTGCTCTCCATACACCTCTTTCTTCTACCACCCTCCAACTTTCTATCTTCCCTCCATCATCCTTTTCTACTCTTACTTCCCCTCCCTTTCTACTGCTCCTCTCTCTACAATCCACTCCTCCTTATCCTTCTCATCTTCCCCCCTTACCCTCTCTCCTATCCTTCTCTTCCCATCCTTCTTCTTTCCCGCTCCTCCTCTCCTTGGTGTATTTCCGCTACATGTCAATATGCTTAGCCTATCCTATGACTTTTTTTACAAGTGGCTTTTTTCAGTGCCATTGTAACTGAACAATCACCAAATGAATTGTAAGTCGAGGACTACCTGTATTCACTACTGAAAGAGGGTGTCTTTAGGTTTACAAATGATGGCGAGCAAAGTTTTATCAATATTTCTGGTATGCCAGCTGCAGTTGTTTATGAGTTGATCCATTTTGGATAGTCATTCATGCTTTAGCTATAGCAATCTTGACCTCCTATTATCATTTAAGTGGCCATTTATGCCTTGTGAAAATTCTGGATGGATTTGTTCTATAATTCATTTGTTTTCTTGACAAAAAAGTCTCTTTCTGCTGCAAAATGTGATTTATTTTTGCGTTCCATATCAAGTGGAATAAAAACAAACTTCCATCTCAGATTTGGTTTCTCTGTAAAGTTTTGTGTTGATTCAGTATTGCTCACTGGCAGGTTTCACAGCTTTTAAAAAAAATCCAGAGAGGAAGTTCAGAAGACAGAACAGACTTTATGCAACTTCTTCGACAAGGACTTCAATACAAAGAAATCCAGCAGAAATTTATCAGGTTAGCTGATGTATACTTCGACTATAGAACAAAACTAGTATCAATTGCTTCTTTGGTTTGATAGAATCAACTAGAGTTTATGCTGTCACATTTATCTGGGTAAGAGGCCTTTCCCACTGCCTTTTTCTCCAGCTGGATTGTCTTTAGAAGGCACCAAGCTAGATAACATGATGCCTCAAAGGCTTTGCTCTTGACTTAACCTATATGCTAGTGAATAGCTTACATATAACCATTGGGAAGTGGCTGATTTGGTTGTTTGGTAAGATATGGCTCATAATTTCATGTCTAGATTCAGGAGCATTTAGCTTATTTGTTTCAGGGTTTAGATTTAAGAGTGTTACTAGCTTAATAGCTTTGGAGCTTTCAGGAAATTTTCCTGAATCCAGAAGGCATCTTTAATGTGTCTTTCAAAGCAGAGCATATCATTGAAAGTACTACAGCCTTTTTTCTGCATTTAGTCGTGAAGTCTGCAATTGTTGTAAATTTTATATGTATTATATTATAACTTTGTCATTGAGTGACCAAATAGAGTTTAAAGGAATTTGTTGGAACTTAAGGGAGATTAAATTTAATTTTCTCTAAATCAAGTGTTTGCATTTGATCTGTATAACAGTCTGGAATAGAAAGTAATACTGGTAAAAACCTTCTTAAAAAGAAAAATATAAAGATATACCAACAAGAGACTGCCTTTCTTGGTCACTTGGTAAGAAAGGTATTGCTTTTGTTTCTTCTTCCTAAATATTTATGTCTGTCTCTGCGATTCCTGCAAGAGATAATACTTGGTTGATTTTGTTTTTCTCTTCACAAGATTCATTACTTTTTCATTTTGATTCTATAAATGATTGCCAAAATAACATTTACTAGGCAAACAATATAGTAGCATTTAAATTTTTTCCTTTTAATAGTTTTTGTAACTTTCTGTTGCCACACTGGAGGATATTTTAATTTCTACAAGATATTTTATACATACATGGATGAGTGTGTACAATCTTGTAATATTTGAAAATAAATTTTCCCCTTTCCTAATAACTTGCAATGTGGAAACATTATTTTGCTTGGTAGAGAAAGAAAATTTTAAAGTTTGTATATAAAAACTTAATTGCAAAACATTCACGTTTAATATGTAGAGGAGCATCATTTTATTGGTTAATTATAATTTTCAGTCCTCACTAAAAGGTTAGATATTAATTTTGTCTTAGCAGGTTAGAATTAGGAATTCAATTCTGATTTATACAAAGTTAAAAAGTTGAACTACTACACCTACTACTTACTGTTCAGTGTTTTGAATGTAGATAATTTTATTCCTTTGTCTTTTCTTACATAGGAAAAAAAAATCAACAGCTTCAGAAATAAATGTTATGAATGGGGAGGCCCTTTGCAGCCCCAGCAGTACTATTTTTCCCCCTTTGTTCCATCTGGCTGATATACTTCAAAACTGCAACAGATAACTCAAATTTGGAAGAGGAAACACCAACCAAATCTTTAAACTTTATGATCATGTTCAAAAATGTCCACATTGTATTCTATTCCAGTTCTGGAGAGGAAAATAAATGCAGTCAGGTTTTTGTTGTTGTTGTTGTTCTGGTTCCATAAATGCTATTCACTTTTGCTTATCCTAGCCTCTTGGGTTGTAATGGTATGTAGGAATAATCTTGAAAGGCAGAAGATACTAGATCATCCCTAGTTTTCTGGAAAGTGAAAGTAAAGGAGGCGAAAAATACTTTCAGACTTGTAAGCATTTGTTATTGTGGTTCCACCACAAAACCGCGTTCGACTAAAGCGCGCTCGACGAAACCGTGTAGCTGACGTCATCAACAGGGCGACAACAGCGCGGAGACAGAAGCACGCTGTAAACGCTAAACCTAAAATTAGCCCCTAAACCTAAACCTAACCCCCCTAAACCTAATCCTAAACCTAACCCTAACCCTAACCCTTAACCTAACCCTAAACCTAACCCTAAACCTAATCCTAACCCTTAACCTAACCCTAAACCTAACCCTAACCCTTAACCTAACCCTAAAGCTAACCCTAAACCTAACCCTTACCTTAAGTTGAATCGGCTTGCTTTCAAAGCGCTATTTAAAGCGCCCTTCTTTCTCCGCGCTCGCTATTGTCGCCCTGTTGATGACGTCAGTGACGCGGTTTAATCGGGCGCGGCTTAGTCGAGCATGGTTTTGTCGTGCCACGGTTATTGTAGCCTTATAATATCGCTATTATTAATACTCATAGTTTGTGCTTGTCTGGATTAGCATGAAGGGCTGACAAGAGTTAGACTACCTGTAACTGTTCTACTACCATAGGATACTTTCAACTGGGCATTGCTTTCCTTTGCTTAGACATATCCAACAAGGATGCAGTGTAGCAGGAGAATATGTATGTTTTAATTGATAGGTTGGAGGGAAATATGTCTGTGCTGATTGGCCTATTTACCAGCAATCTAGCCAATCTGCAGATGGATGCAGCTTGCTGTTTACACGAACTTTCACTGTCTACTGATCCTGCTGTGGTCGAAGCATGTTTGCCAGCAACCTCTTATCTCCTGACTTACCTCTCGGGACACAGTGTGGCTCTCATGGTAAGATGGATTCTTGTGCTTAAATAGCTCTTACTTCTGTTAAGCCAGAAGTGAAATTTAAATTTCCAAATATTTACTAATCTTACTCTTGTTTGCCGTTCTTGTTCATAAAGTTGCAGTTAGATTAGAGTGAACATAGGGGAGGAACATACCCTTTTCTAATGTATTTCAGGAACTGTGTTTATACACATTAGGAAACTTAGTAGTTGAGATGAAAGCTGTGAAGAAACACCTTCTACCTCAGGGCATCATCTCAGTGTTGGCATCCTGTATCCAGGTGAGTATCAAATATAATTCTTGCCCAGCCATTTTGAATATCAGTTCATTAATTACTTTTATTTATTACATTTATATTGCCGATGCAGATGTGAAATTTTCCTCCTTTAATCCTTACTACAAAAATTGTGTTATTTAAGTTACACTGAGAAATAATGACTGGCCCAAGACCTTCTAATGAAGTCCAAAACTAAACTGGTATTCCTAGTCTTGATTGAATGCCTCAACTACTACAATGGACTCATTTTTCTTTCTCCAGACTAAAAAAAGTGAAATCTCCTTTTTCTATAACGTGCTATATCTTAGTTGCTCGAGACATTTAAATAATTTTCAAAGATTATATCTTCCTTTTTAAAATATAGCTTGTTACTATATTACTAAGAGTTGCTTAACTTATTGAAAAACTTTTGAGTGTTGCTAAAGGAGTATATTTTCTGAGATAGTTCTTGCATAGATAACCTTTTCCACAGGTCCAATATGTTATTTTCTGCACGGATCTTTTAGAAATGCTACTGAATATAGGCAACTGGATTATCAGCATTACAGCTTTTTCTTCACTGACTTAGCACAATTTATCAAACAGAATATTTGTGGGACGTTTCCGTACAATTTATGGGGTATTTAGAACAATCTGTTTTCTTGTACATGCATTGCTTTTCTCTGCTTCCCTCTCCAACTGCCTTTTTGACCCTAAACTATTGGATGATAAGTTGGATTGCTTGATTTCAGTCTCCTCATGTGATGATACAAGAAGGTGTTGGCTATGTTCTGTCACAACTCTTGCAATCCAAGGAAGCAGCAGCTGAAATCATACCGTAAGTGAAATTCCAATTAGGAATTACATGCTTATGTGGTTATGTTATTGTAAGCCGCCCGGAGTCCTTCGGGAGTGGGCGGCATACAAATCAATAAAACTATAACTATAAACTATGTGATGCCCATTTGGATCCAAATACCATTTTTCCGTTCCTCTTGCCCTGATTGGACATTGGCAATGTCAAGTTCTGGGGCATGAGGGCTGCTCAAGGAAGTATGTCTCTTGGAAACTGCTCCTTCAGCAACAGTGTCCTGGGTGATGTGGGGCAAATGATGTGGGGTGCTTCTCACTAGGCTAGCCTCTAATAGGGTGCTTCTCATAGGTAAGCTGTCTCTTGCTGGTCACTTGCCCAACCTCCCCATAAAAAAGAAATAATCTTTTTGTTTTTTCATTTATATCTTCCTTGGTCTTAAAGTAAAATTTATTCTTAATCGTGCTTGGTTCTTGGAGATTGTTTAGATAAGCCCCTGCAGCTTTTCTGGCAAGATTTTTCAGAAACGGTGTGCCATCGCTCCTTCCGTCAACTGAGAAAAAGTGACTGGTCTAAGGTTACCAAACTGTCTTTGTGCCTAAGGCAGGAATATAGCCTCCCCGTTTCTAGCTTGATTCCTTAACCAGTATCTACATACATTTTAATGTGGAGAATCTACATGTAGCAGCCCTGTAAAATTGTATATAAATTCTTGCTGCATTTATCAAGGCCTACATAGTACAGTATTTTCTTCGACACAATATACGGTAAGCTTTTGTGATATGGTAGTGCTTATCCAACTGCTGCTTAGTTCTCTGCTTAATAATTAAGTAAGATTTTCTTTTTGTCTGCAGGTTGCTCTTAGAATCCACCCTCCCTCAACACATGCTTCACTTGGTTTGTTCCAGGCTGGAAGATGGAATAGGAACTGCAGTAGAATGTGCATGGGGTCTTCACTACATTATTTGCAGGTAAATATATTTTGTGGACAATGAAGGTTTCAAATAGTAGTTAGCATATAGAGGGGAATAAATGCTAAGCAGAGGCATAATTTTTCATTCCAGGCTTTGTAGGTAAAGCATGAGAAAAAAAAACCTGGTGTCATTGTGGAGTGTCCATTAAATAATTAATTAATCTCCTTAGCAACCAAGGATGGGGAAAATGTTGAGCAAAAGACAGTTGGTAGCGAGACTACTTTTTAGACAGAATTTAGTTATAGGCTTTTCCGAAAGAAAAAAATATGTTATTTTAAATAGGAAATTAGGTTAGTTCATGTGCTAGATTACTCCCCTGGTTACTCTTCTGTTGGTTTTTTTTAGAAGGGGAGACGGTGTGTCAGTAAATAGAAAACAGAACAAAACAATCACTTTGATAGGGGTCTATTTATAGTTCTGTAACTACATTGACGAATTGTATACATTGATTTACAATAAAAATAACACAGAAGGTTGATCCTTTGGCATCATATCACTGGATTTTTAAGGTGATATAATTATATCAGAAAATCAGGGGGGGAAAGGAATTTCCAATTTGTCCGAAGTCAGAGCAAGAAGAGAGAAAGACAGAGCCAGCTACCGGTACAATGGAAAAATCAGGAGAAAAGAACTGGGTTTATATATTTACAAGTGCTTTTATTCTGCTTCAGGGAGAAAAAGCAACAAATGCAATAAAAAACAATACCATACACATTAATATAATATCAGTAGTAAAAGTCATATTGACAACATCATTTATGCTAGGTATATATCTTAATTTCTGAATTCTTGCTTAAAAACAGTGGATGAGTTTTCACGAATTTTCTAAATATTAACAGAGGGTGCTGATTTTATTTCCAGCGGGAAGCAGTTCTCCATCAAGAAACATGCTTAGTTCTAAATCCCCTGCTCTTGCCCCTTGAGGGTGAAAGACAGGGAGTTTTAACATCGTTCTTGTGCTGTACACCTTCGGTGAATAGATTCTGCTTGGAGTAAGCAGCCCTACATACATCTATGCCCCAAGCCATAAATGCCTTTTTTACTAGTACCTTGAATTGTACCAGAGACAAATTGGTAGCCAGCACAATTCCTGAAGTACTGGTGTTGTGAAATATTATTAGGAGGTCTCCATTAACAGACAAGCAGCTGCATTTTGTATCAAACAAAAATTCACTGCAGAATTTGTCATTTAGAATGGAATGATATAGATATTTGTGTATTGAGGTGAATACATATTATGAATACCAGAATTGATATTTCCACATAGCTAAATTTCTGTTTGGATTATTATGAAACAAATTCATTATTTTACAGATCTGGAATAAAGAGAAGGTATATTCTAATTTCTTTCCTATAAAGTAATGTAAACCCAAAGAGCTTCTAGATAATAGATCAAAAGTGCTAAGAAGCTTCTGCTATAGCTAAACCAGGATTTGTCTTTATCTAACACTGTGTTTCTTACATTCCATGGGTTCCACTCTGATTGTGAAGATTCAAAATCTGGTGCTCCTGAAAAATGAATGTGGAGAGGATTACAGTAATGGAAAGGAGAAACATTGGGCTGTATCCATGTTGCTGAAACAATGTACTTATCCTTTGGTTTCCTTCTATTTGTAGCCAAGTGAACAATTCATTGCTGATTTCCCAAAGGACCATGCCATCCCTAGTGCAACTGTTGCTGGAATTGTCCTCTCAGATAGCAACAACTTCTGTTGAGGGTCTAGAATTGGTAAAGTGAAAGGGAAATACTATATATTGGATTTACCAGACTAAGACTCTGAAACTTTTTCTGATCATATCTCATTTTATTTTACCTTCAGTTGATATGCCCTGTTGTGCGGTGTGTTGGCAATCTTCTTGCGGAAGATAAAGCAAACAATGATGAACTGCAAATAAAGGAAGAGTGCCTTCTGAAGGCCTTGTTCGTCTTTATGCAGTTTTTCCTGCCCAAACACACCTTTGTTGTAAGCGAATGTTTGTGGCTCTTGAACAACCTCACTGGTAGGTCCCTTGAATTCATCTCAGATATTCTGGTTGAGAGAGCAACAGAATTGCTAGTCTTTCTTTCGTTGTCATTTAGACTCTTCCAGAGAGTAATAGCTTCGATAATACTAAGAACTCAGTTAAAAGAATTGGTTAGAATATTAACTGCCTATTTTAGAACATTACAGATTAATAAAAACAGTGCATATTGTAGAATGATAAGAGTATCCTTGCGCAGAGCAACATCTGTTTTTGAGAAGTGATAAGCAAATACAGGTAATCCTCAAAATATCAGTGAAGATTCTCAGTCATCAAGGTAAAACTGTCTTGAAGTTGAGGCATGGCAACTGAACTTATTTTCTTGTTGGTTTGAAACATTTTATTGCTTATTATCCAAGTAGCTTCTTCAGTCTGAGCATGTTGATTAGGGTGAATCTGAGGAGGCAGAGAGTTGTTGGAATGTACCTATAAGGACCTGCCCCAGCTGGTCCCTAAGGAAAGTAAGTCTCTTGAATCAAAGGAACTTTCACTTGAGAGAAAGTGATTGCAGGAAAGCAAGGTGGAATCTGAAAAGTCCTGTGCAAAGCACACAGCAATTGTTTCATTTTCCCAAATCCAACCCCCACCCCCCCCTTGACCACTTCACCAGCAGCCAATGTGAGGCCTCAAGGTTGTTATTGTACTCCTAGGTACTAGGCAGATAACAGTTCACCCCCAGGGCACAACGGCCTTGAAATCAGGCTGTAACAGGCTGGGAGGGACTCTGCTCCATCTCCAAAGACAATTCCCCTCCCTAATTCCAAAGCAGTTACAACAAAAGCAAAAGTGTGCGAAAAATGCCAGTAAGCCTCCTCCCCTCCCCACCCTAACAGAATGGCGGGACACAATGGACCTGACAGTACCAACTCTTAAACTTCTTAGGGGGTCATTAAGTGGGGCCTCCCTGGAGAATCTATGAAGACGTCTTAATCTTGCTGGGACTAATGAAAGAGCAGCATAAAAATAGGGACAGGTTGTGTCTGTCAGTCCTGTTGTGACAGTCCACTTCTGTTGCGGCCTATGGCACTATAGCAACACAGATATGAACAGCTACAGGAAACCACCACACAGAGCCCAATAACTGCTGTTTGACTCCCATCGCTCACTTCAACATAAACTAGGAGTAATCTGGACATCACATCACAGGCAGAAAACATTTCACCTCCAGGGATGCCTAAAAGAAGGAATACAGGCATCTGAGGGTAGCTCTCTTAAGGCTTGCTGGTATTGAAATTGGGCCTTTATTAAATCAGCATCTGGATCCAACAGGTAAGCTGAAAGTCAGAGTCAGCGGAAGAAACTGGTTCTTCCTTACATGGCTGGTGTATTGGAGAAGCTAAAACCGATATTTGAAAAACACCACATACCTGTATTTTTCAAACCCACCAACACACTGACACAGAGGCTTGTCCACCCTAAAGATTGGACATCAAAAAATAAGAAGAACAATACAGTGTATGCAGTTCAGTGCAGTGAGGTGTTCGGAGCTCCACATATATGACCCAGCACAAGAAAAACAGTACTACAGGACCAGAATCCGCAGCATACCTTTATTTAAAAGCAAAAGAGAGAGGAGTAAAGGTGTCCATTTATGCCAAAGTGAAAAAGCCTTCCCTCAATAGAAATGGAGACCTCAGAAGCACCCTATCTCCCATTTTTTGTGCTGCTCTCTTATCAGTCCCCAGGAAGATTAAGAGCACTTCACAAGTTCACCAGGGAAGCCGTACTTTATGATTCCTAAGAATTTTAGGAGTTGGAATAACTTGCTCTGACTGAAGAAGCTACTTGGATAAGCAGTGAAATGTTTCAAACCAACGAAAAAATGAAGTCAGTTGACATGACTCAACTTCCAGACAGGTAGTCCTCAACTTACAGTACCAAAATTGGGTAAATTTTGGTAAATATATTGTTAAATGATGTGCTTGTTAAATGTGGCATCATGGGACTGCATTCACTTTTATGACTTTTTTCCCGTGGTCATTAGTTGAATCCCTATGATTATTAAGCAAGACATCACATGACCATGATTTTCCACCTTTTATGCTAGTTTTGCTTATTGGAAGATGTCTGGGAAGGCCACAAATTGCAATCACATGACTACAGGACGCTGCGACTGATCTAAGGGGTGGGGCTTCGGGAGGCAAAAAATGCTGTATTCGGTGTATAAGATGCACCCAGATTTTCAGCCTCTTTTTTGAGGAAAAAAGGTGCGTCTTATACTCCGAAAAATACGATACTTGTAAATGAATGGCTGATTTTTCTTTACTTTTTTCAGTTCAGAGCACCACATCTTGTTCTGCTCTGCTAAGCCTGGAAGTCTTTTCTGATCTGTTGAAGCTGTTACGTTCTTATCAGGTGATCAGCTTGTTGGTAAGTAAAAATATTGTTTCTAAAATATTGTTACTGTGAAAAATCTGGAACTGCATATTCACAATTTGATACAAATGTTTTAGTGACATTTTTGGCAAGGTTAAGTTAAAGGCATACATGAAACTGTTTGCCCTGCCATTAATCAAAGCAAAATAGCTGTTTCAGACAACTGATCTTTACACAACATACAGATACAGTGCAAAAGGAGTGTGGACATCCGTAAGAGTATTAGGAAAGGATGGCAAGAGTGTGTGAGAGGTGTAGCATGGGTCAGGAGGGCACAAGGGGAAGCACAAGTAGTGTGGGTTGGGGAAGGTGCAAGAATGGCAGGAGAGAAGAGGTGCATTATGGATCAGGGAGTGTGAGTGTTTGCACACACAAAAAAATGGGAGGAGGAGAGGGTGCATGAGAGGCATGAGTCAGGTAGGGCGCAAGAGGGTATGCAAGAGGCATTGATTGTGGAGGATGTGCAAGAGGCACAGGTTGGGGTGGGTGCACAGGAGGCGTACAGGTCAGGGTTGTGCATGAGTGTGCAATAGATTAGGGAGGATATACACATGGCCAGTGTGGTGTAAGTGCAGAAAGGCTGGGGAAGGGTGCAAGCATGTGGAACTTACCCAGCAACTTGCAACCTTTTTTGCCAGAAGTTTGCAAGTGGCAATCAAATGATTGTAAGATAGTGCACCCCATTGTAAGTGTAGATCAGTTGCCAATGCACAGATTGCAATCATATGAGCACAGCAGTGCTGGGATAGTCAGAACTCCCAAGGACTGATCTTAACCATTATCTTAACTTTAAACAGTTGCTAAACAAATGATCATAGGTTGAGGACTACCTGCATATTCCTATTTCTGTAGATTAGAAATGTTCAGCTATGATGGGTTGGTGGGCAATTTGAACATTTCATACTTTGTTTAGATATGCTGAGATCATCTCCTTGAGTTACCAGGATATTATCTCAGCTTACATTTGTCTTTTTTTTGGACCTTTCAAGCAAACTATTAAAATTAGTTTATTGAGTGTGGATAAAAGAATCCAACTGCTGCAGTTAGAGCCAAATTGGGAATGTATTCATTTTTACATATATTCCCAATTAGGAAATATGTAGAAATTGAGATTCCCAAACTTGTGACCGTTAGAAATATACTAAGCTTCATTTAGACTTCACTTGGATAGTACTACTTACATATTACATTAGGAATTATAGGTCTCCCATCTCTTGTTTATGTGTATCTAGTCAAGTTCAGAAAATAGTTGCTGAATTTCTGATACAGTATAGGAGTATATATTGTTACTCTCAGTAACAAGGATGGATGAGCTGCTACAAATATAATTACGTCCACATTAATTTTCAAATTGAAATATATTTAATATATTTAAAAACTCAAGTATCTTTGAGAAATTACCTGTGTGAATTTGAACTAGAAACAATGTGGAAGATTCAGTAAAATCCCTTATCATGAATATACAATTTATCATATAGAATGAGATTATTATTTACAACTGTATAGAAGATAAACAGTTCACTGGTACCCCTTAGAATAACATATTATTGTGGTCAGAACACAAATATTAAACACCCTCTTTTGAATAAAACAGTGCAGGTGAGAGCCATATATATATAAACCAGATTAAGGTAAATTATTAAGGTGGTAAGTACATTTGAATGCAATTTGTTTTTATTTATTCTTATGGCTTAATTCAATTTTTAAACTCTGTGGCTTATCAGAAAAGTGTTGTTGGCTTTCATATGTGAGGATCCAGATACATTGATACTGTGTTCTGAATCTTAGTGGAAAGGCAAGAAATGTTTGTAAACAATGTAAGATATTTGAGGAAAGTTTTTAATATCAGTATAAATTGATATTGGTAACTGAAGTTTCTTGTTCCATCTTCCCCTTTAGGTTCTAACAGTGTTATGCAATATTGCTGCCAAGGGTGCTGCCTACTGTGAAATGCTGCACCAAAAAGCTGTGCTTCCTTCTCTTGTAAATATCCTTGTTTTTTCTGATGTCCAAGTAGTAGGCCAAAATCTGGAACTATTGCATCTCATCTTCCTTTACTGGCCAAAGGTAGACTTTAATGCATTGTGTATCACAATATTATTATATATTCTAGAAGTCCATGATGTACTAGCAGTTTCAATACTAATGTGTATGTTCTTTCACTCTGCCAGGCTGCCATTGACTTTGTAAATCATTCTGGACTACATGCCTTACAGCAGCATCAAAATAACCTACATTTGCAAGAGCAAGTCAAAGTGCTAATTCACACAGTTAGCCAGATAACTGGTGTTCCTCAAAATAATCCCCTTGGAACTGAAAATCTTCATTTTACTTCCTTACAAACTTGAATGACATGATTTACCAACAAATTTGAAACAAAATCTTTTGAATAGCAGTATACTACTAAGTCTCTCAGGTCTGTATGGTTGTTTGTAACCTTCAACTAAGCAAAATGTTGATAATAGAGCAACAATTTTTGAATCAGTTTACCACTTTTTTGGAGTATAAGACGCACCAAGATTTTGAAGAGGTAAATAAAAAAAGGTTTTCGCGCTCTGCAGACCTATTCTGCACGCTTCATTTTTTGTGAAAAACGGGGCATGCAGGGAGCTTGAGAGGCCTACAAAGTGCTCCTGGAGGCTGTCCCCGCCCCCCAAAAGCAAAAAACGGCCCCTTTTCTTGCCCCAAAAAGGGCATGCATAGACTTTAGG